GGAGTCTCGGGGGGGGGAGGCCAATCGACCCCCGGAAGGGAGACGAGCCATGGGCAGTGAGTGAGGAAGTGTGACCGCCTGGAGGAGAGGGGCCGGGGGGACTGGAGAGGACCTTTCGTCAGAAAAAGGCACTTCAATGAAAGAAAATTGACGGTGAAGTGAACCAAGTTGTCCTCTAACGGTTTCTAGGGAGAGTGGCGGAGTTAGTGGCGCAGAACCGTGGAGGGAAAGAGGAAACCGGCACCAAAGTGGCGTGGCCCGCAGGCTTCGGGGAGGCGGGACCCAGGCTCGCTGCTGGTGCTCTGCAGGGAGGCCTTCCAGAGCCTTCGGGCAGGGCAGCCACGGCCGCAGCCAGGGTTCAGCCACAGCAGCGCAGTGTCTACGTCCCGCGTGTGGGGACTGTGAACGTGTTTGCAGATTAAGGTCGCCTAGGAAACCTCAGGCCTCCGTGCTGTTACACACTTAGGTCGGGGACGTGCTCAGAAGAGTCACCAACTTCTCACAGTGTCTTTGACCAGAGTGCTTCTCTGGCACGTGATGTATTTCCAAAAACTATGAAAAAGTGGGTGGGAGGAGGCTGACATCATTCTCTGAAATTTCCTGGGAGAAATCAAGGATGCCAAACGTATAAAATACGCCAATTTTTTATAAATTCTAGAAAGATCATATTTAAATAGCAGATGAATACTCCTTCTGCCAAGGTTTACGGAGCTTATATCTGTGTGTACACACATAGTAAGGTACTAGAAAAAGACTAGAAAAAGAGCTTGCCTTTGCTGATGAAGTAATAAATTTGAAAATTTGTTTCTGTTACGCTTCCACACAAATGCGGTGTGACACACAGATGCAAGAGTTCTCCATTTTAGGCAACGTCTTTGAAAAAAATTTTTCTCCATTGTGACTTTGCTGTGGAGCAACAAATCTGGAGCCCGCACGCATGACTGACAAGTTTCTGAACATGAATTCTGGCTCTTCTATCTGCGTCTGTGATATTTACAAACATCCCAAATGCCACCATATTAGAGTGATCATCATGAAATATTGGGTTGTGTTTATATATTTCATTTCTACAGATGGTAAAATATGGACACACATATGTACTAAAATGACTTAAAATAGATGTTTAATAAGTGCTTAACTGTTCACTGTTTGCTCCATTTCGTGATTTAATATCACGCACAAAATTGTCCTGTAGAAAGAAACTACAAGTGTCCTGTTAATCAACTGTCCTTTAGTATCATCCTTAAAAAATTGGCTTCAAAGTTTTAATGATCAAGAACCACTGCTAATGCCATTTTAAGATGAAAAAAAAATGGAGAAAATAATAGTGGAGGTGGTAATAGACTGTCATTTATGTCTTAGGAATGACAGATGTCTGTCCCCAATTTCACTGGGTCCTTCCCTAAGGAATACATTGGGTTTTGTTAAGGTAAGAAATTGCAGGAAACGTTTGCTTTAGATTAACATATGTGTACTGCCCGTGATTTTTCTGGGAAAAGCTTGGAAAGGAAAACATCATGTTTAACAACAGTGAGGGGTCATGTGGTGGAGGCATCATCTATTTTTTACTTTCACAGTGTTTCTGCTTTTTAAACAACTAAAACCATAAATAGAACCGAATGCATACACAATACTCACTGGGGGAGTCTTGATCAAAGCTTAAATATTTATGGAAGAAAATGCCAATAACTGAGGCTAAAGATGTGAAAATAAGCATTTAAACTCCCATTAGACATTTTTGAGGATGGTGACTTTGAGAAGGGAGAAATACATTTGGCATATTTCAGAAAATAAGGAAATAAGGCCTTCTTTCTGTGCAGGTGAGCACACATTTGGGCAGTGGGGTGAGAGAAACACCACTGGCTGCCCATTATAGCGTTTACCTACTGATTTTTCATCATGGATGTGTGCGGGGCCTATTTTGGAAGACGGTCCACTTTTGTAAGAAAAGCGATTGGTTCCTAGGGAGAACCCTTGAAATGGTTGCATTTAGGATGAAAACTCTGCAGTAGCCACGGTAACACTGGGGTAGGGGCTGAGCACAAAACTACGTATTTATACAAAAACTCAACTGAGGAATCAGTGAGATGCTTAAATGTATTCCAGGAAGGCCTCAAGGTTCAGGAAAGAACCTCTGTCCCTGGAAAGGCGGCTACCACTCAATATTTCAGTATGCTCACACTGTGGTCTCAGTTCTTCCTTGCTGTGGAACAGCTTCTACCTTAAATTTCCCAGAGCAAAAAATGGAATCAACATCCTTCAGGTTCTGAAAAAGAACTGGGAGGTTATTCTTTAAGTGTTGCATTTACCTCAGTCAAAATATCACGGTAAAATAATACAGCAGCTTCATTTAGTAGTCAGCAACAACCTATAACTACGTCCCAGACCCCCGGCTTATGCAACAGCGCCTGGGTTGGAAATCCAGGATCCACAAAGCCCTGGCTGGGTAGCTCAGTTGGTTAGACCATCGTCTCCACAGGCCAGGGTTGCGGGCTCGATCTCCATTCAGGGCACATACAAGGAGCAGCCAATGATGCAGAAATAAGTGGAACAACGTCTCCCCCCCACCTTTTCTCTCTCTCTCAAATCAACGTTAAAGAGATCAGCAGGACAGAGGCTCTGAGGCCGAGGAGCCCGGCGGGTGAGCGGCAGCGCAGGGCACTGCAGGGAGAGCCCAGATCGGGCGTGGCGCGGTGCCTGTGGGCGCGGCCGGCACCACAGCTCCGCCTGAGGCCGCTGAGAAAGGCTCACGGGGGGCAAGGGCTGAACTGGACCGAACAGCACGCGGGGCGCAGGCGGAGGCCGGCAAAGGGAGCTGCCAGCGGG